TAAATAAATAAGTAAATAAATAGTGACTCACACCTATTATCCCAGAACTGGAGAGGCTGAGACAGGAGGACTAACTACAAGTTTGAAGCCAGCCTCAGTTACATAGTGAGTTCTAGGCCAGCCTGGGCTATATGAGACCTTCCTGTCTCAAAAAATTAAAACCAAACCAAGGAGCTTATGGGCATAGGTAGATAGATGAGGGATAGAAGATAGATGATGATGATGATAGATAGATAGATAGATAGATAGATAGATAGATAGATAGATAGATAGATATAATGACTCATACCTATAATTCTAGAACAGCTACAAAATGAGTTCCAGGCCAGCCTGGGCTATGTGGTGAGAACCTTTTGTTAAAGAAAAGAAGGAAAAAAAGGTTGGAGAAATGGCTCAGTAAGAGAGTCTTTCTGAAAGAAGAGGAGAAAAAAGGGCTGGGGAGATAGCTAGGTGGGTAAGAGTGCTCGACATGGAAGAATGAGGACCCGAGTTAGAATTTCCAGCACCCACATAAAAAGCCAGGGTATGTATGTCTGTAACCCCAGCACTGGACTGTAGACACACGCATATCCTGAGAGCTCACTAGACAGCCAGCTTAGCCAAAAATGGCAAGTTTCCAGTTCAGTGAGATCTTCTTGTCTTGATGGAATAAGGTAGAGATCAGGGAAGAAGACACCTTATGTACTCTTCCTGTCTCCACAGGTATATACATGGCCACCCAAACACACACACACACACACACACACACACACACACACACACACACACACACACACACACATCAGTTCAAGAATTCTATAGTAGAAGGTAACTAATTCCACATGAAAAACACATTACCGGTAGCTAGACTGCTACCTTGTTGTTATTGTTTTTTTTTTTCTTTTTCTAGTTGATTTCAAAAGCCATTGTCAAGCCTACCATGGGGTGATACACAGCTCTAATCCCAGCACTTAAAAGAACAAGGCAGAATCTTGGGTTTGAGGCCAGCATGGTCTCCAGGAGACCCTGTCTCAAAAAGCAAACAGACAAAACCAAAAGAACAACGACACTGTGGGGATGAGTAGACACTCTAGAGATTTTGTGGCATTTTCAAGTGGTATCTGCTGCTTCCCTAGGACTCTTCAGAAGCCAACCCTGATGACCAGATCCTATTTACAGTTCACATTTAAACTTCAACTTCCAGATTCAAACGTCACAAAAAGGAGGTAACAGCATAGTTTTAACATGAAAACCAAAAACCTCTACCTACTGGAAGCCATGGCTCCAATATAGCCGTCTCGTGTTTATTACATGAGAGTCAGATTAGACAGTCCTGACAAAGTGCTAAGACCCAGGCTTTCTCCATGCCAGTTCAGTGCTTTTCCACTTAGAGACCACACTAAGAGTAATTATGATTTGTAATCACCTATTATACAGTAGTGACACAAAGAAACCTTTTCACATAAGGCTTCCAGGGCTATGAAGAGGAACAGGCGCATCTAACTCAGACATGTGAGGCTCAAAAAAGGGCTCCCAGAAGAAGCTGGTTGAATAAAAGTGTGGCCAGGTGGGACAGAAAGTACATGTGTAGGGGGCAGACGGGTGGGTGAGTAAAGAGCACAGTGCTCTTTACTGCTATGGTGGGAATAAAGAGAGGTGAAGCTAACTACTGTATTGTATCTGTAATGCAGGCACAGCACATGGAGGGTTTCACTAGGAGGGCAGCAGCAGCTGGGACAGTGAGAAGCAAAAGCCAAGTACAGAGGCTAAAACAGGGAAAGGAAAAACTCAGAGAGCACTGGTTGCGGTGGAGAGTGTCCAAGTGGTTTTTACAGGACAAGGGAGAGGACAGGAGTGGTAGTTGCAGGGCAGGAAAAAGGTAAGCAGATTGCAAATTCCATTCTAGACAATGCTCATTTGAGGTGCTGCTCTGGCTCCGAGGGAAGATGCCCAGCAGTCCTATTTCAGGTCATACATTTAAAGAAAGATCTGTTCTCAGAATTTCCGTGGGCCAGAGAGGCGGACATGGACAAGAACTTCATGTTCAGCACAATTCAGAGGCAAAAGCAGAGGCCCCGGAGGCACACAGAGCTGGGGGAAGTTAAACATCAATCTTGCCCACATCAGCTGTTTGATTTTAATTTTTCTGAGCCTTGAACTTTCCATCGTGAAAGGCCTGAATAGCTGGCCGTAGTGATGCATATTTGTAACCCCAGCACATGAGAGGCTAAACATGAGTTTCAACCAGCTTGAGCTTGGCTATATGGTGAGATTCTGTCTCAAAATAAAATAAAAAACAGTCTGAATAAAATAACTTAAAGCCAGGCATGGTGGCTCACACGTGTAATTCTGGCACTTGGGATGCTGAAGCAGGATTACTGTGAATTTGCAGCCATCCTGGGCTACATAATGAGTTTCAAGTCATTCTGAGATACAGACTGAGACTGTCACAATTAATTAATTAATTAATTAATTAAAAAACAA